TATAATTTTGTATTTTTATAAATTAGTCTTATTATGATATTCTCATACAAAATATAATAAAAATAAGAAGGATGTCATCATATCAATAGGATAACAGTCCCTTATATTTTTAGTTTAGTGTGTGTAAAAATATATTAGGTAATAACAAAGTAACCAATTCAAACAATTTCTGATTCAAACAATCATCGTAACAAAGTTATACAAACATATATTAAACATCAGCAAAATGAACAAAAGTCGTCCATATTTAACTACACTCTCCAATGAGCCACGGCCAGGACACTTTCGCATGTAAGTTATGAAGTGATCGAATTAATCTTTTAATGTGATATCAAATTCTTATAATTGTTTTCTTTTAAGGACTTATTCAAAGTTCGAAAAGGAGTGCAAGTCACTTTCTAAGGTGCAAAAAAATTTAGGTGATATCAATGAAAAACGAAACAATGAAGACAACATCATTTTACTGACGCACAAAGTTTCACCAGCCACTGTTGTGGTAAAAAACATTCAAGCCAATAGACACACTGACACTATAATAAATATAAGGGATCATTATTTCATGTGCCACGCAATCATTTTAAAACTTTACTCAAAACAAATGTTTAAAAATTTGGGAAAAAATATGTTGAATATTTCCACACGTCAATTGTCTCCAAATGGCTTTAGTAATGTTTATCAATGGATGATTTCGGAAATGGGAAAAATACCCATGCTTAATATGCCCGAAGTTCTCAGAGCTGCATCATATTTGGAGATAACTGAGCTTCTTGAGCATGCCTGGAACGTTCTAAATAGTCATATCTATACTAATTTTTCAGCATTTAATATAATGTTTAAAGTGCGTCACGCCTATGAACTGGATGAGATAAACGAAATGATGGCTAGCCGCATATCCAAAGCAACTTTGGTAATACTATCCAGTCGTGAGTTTCTTTGCCTTAATGAAAATCAGGTGTGCCATTTGCTAGCATCCAGCTCTTTGGCAGTAAACTCGGAAATGGAGGTAAGTTAATAAGAAGGAAAAGGAAGTAACAAAAAAGTATACCATTTTATTTTTAGAAATCTTTTTATTTATTTATATATATAGTTTATATTACTTTATATCCTTGCAGAGGGTATTCTAATTCTGGTCAAAAGTCCAACGCAGTATATGAGACTTCTCCGACCCCATATTCTTGATCAGGACCAACTCCTGAGTTGATCGTGTCCGTCTCTCTGTCTGTCTGTCCATTTGTCTATAACTCATTGATCGGAAATGCCAAAACTTTGGTATTTCTAAAGTTAGAGAGATTATCTTTTCTATGGGTTGTACTTCAAGTCAACTGATCAAGCCTAACAAATTACCGGGATAGGGATCGGCCAACTAAATCTTCGTATTCGTATGAGTATCGGCCAACTTTATCCGATTTTTGCTATATATATCCGATCTTTACTGCAAGGGTATATCAACTTCGGAAACGCACGAAGTTAGCTTTCCTTTCTTGTTTTTCTTTGACGTAAAAAAACCTTCTATTTTGTGTCGTTTCAGTTATTATACAGTGCTTTTATGTGGCTTAATCATTTGTGGCCATGTCGCAGATCCAGCACAGCTAAAATCCTACAAAATATTCGATTTGCTTTTATGTCGCCAACAATGTTGAACAAGTTTAAAAAATTGGAATGCCACAATACAGGCACCTTTAGCCAAATTTTTGATGAATTTACTAATCTACCAAAACTAACACAACTTATTCAGGATGCATTATTTTGTAGCACCTTAGTAATAACCACAAACAACGAACCAACTTACATTAAAGAAAATTTAGAATACACTCAAATCAAGTCGCTAGCTCCACGTCGTTGGATGTTCGATACTCGATGTGAACATCACCTATCAATGAGACAACAATGCCCCAACATGCAATACATATCGTTTGAACAATTTAAAAATTATTTATATATATTAGAGAAGTCTGAAAGAGATTTTGACCAGTTCATGGAATGTGGAGATGATAATGAAGATTCCAAGAAACAAGAAGATTGTCAAATTGAAACTAGCTTGGGCAAAATAACGATACATTCTATGTTGAATGTCAAGCATTTATCACAGTACATAAAACTTTTGACTGGAAACATAAATTTGAATTAAGCAATCACATAATATATACTTGATAATTGCATTTTTAAAATAATATAATAAAGAATCTGTAAATACAGTCGCATACCAATCTCAAGTTTGGGCTTTTTACTGCTGTAATCAAGGGGACCATCCACAGGCTAATTTGTTTTGTCGTGAATTTGTCCTACACAAATGATTATGTTTTTAGGTTACCTTAAATCCTAGTTTTTTATGTAGAACCGGAAGTGAACGAAAGGCGGATATCCGACTATATCCCATAGCTGTTATATAACTAATATTATATATCGGAACTAACCAAACTTTCGTGTTTATTTAGATAAAAGGTTGACACTTTCAACAGATGCGCCAATTAATCCTAACTACCAAATTTTATAAGGATCGGTCGAAATGCTATTTGGAAAAAATACCGGTATTTTTGAAGAGAAAAATTTGTGGCCTTTTTTAAATTACTTATTCTAAAAAATTGGTTTTTTAATAAAATTCTGATAACGACAATTAACCTATCATAGTTGCAAAGGTATATCAACCTCGGCTCCGCCCGAAGTAACCTTTTCTTTCTTGTTTCTTTGGTGTTTTTTTTGTTAGAGGGTTGGTATTTTTTGTGGATTTAGTTAAAAGCCTTGAAGTACTTATTGTAACTTTTAAAATAAATATTTTGTTTTTTTCAAAAATAATAGCCAATTGAAACTTAGATTAGAAACTTAGATTAGTATTAGAAACTAATAGAACCATAATTTTCGTAAGACACCAGAATTTTAAACATTTCTTAGATTAGATATTATATATGTCGGGTCAGCAGCCGCTTAATAACATAGTTTATAATTTGTTTATTATGGTTAAGAATGGACATTTCGCCTTAGTTGGTCACAAGCCGACTCTTTCTCGGCCGCTCGACTTCAATGGGTCTATTTTAAGAGAGCTTTAGCTCGGCAATGTCTATGTGGGGCTTTAGCTCCGCAATGTCTATGTCTCGGTTCATAACATTAAGTCCCTGCATGCACCATAAGCTGGTCTATCTATGTTGATCATCCAGCTTCATCTGCATGCAGAGTAAATAAATTATAGCGTGCAATTATTAAATTCACACCTTGTATTTTGGAGCAGATTAACGTCATTGAAAACCCTCAAAGACCATACAGTATAATTAATAGAATACTTTGGTTAGTACAATAGTAAGAAATGGAGATCTAATAAGATTAAATAGTAATAACATGGAAAATATATAGAAAGTTATGTGAAAAAGTTATCTATTTTTGTATCATTTTTAAAACACCTTTTAAATAAAGCAACATTTTTGAATAGCTCTTTACAATTTGAAGATGAAAGTGAATTGATTTTGTAACTTAAATAGGGCTTCCTTTTACTTAATAAAATAAAATATTGTTTGCCTTTTAATTATTAAATACAGGAACTTGCGAAAAGCCGTGCCACAATACTACTAATATTCGTCAATGTCGCAATAAACACCACATAATTAGAGTGTGTGTGATGGAACGGCAAATGTTATATAAGACATATGTATGCATATAGGGGCGTATACAAAAATAGGTGATTTGGTTTGTCCTTGTACTTCAAAGTAAACACCCATAGGTACAGTACACCTATGCCAATGATTTTCTCAATTATCAAAGCGGTAATTCCTTGAGCTCTTTAATTGAGGCGAATTTTGATCCATTTAAAGGTAGATTCCAGCCATTTCGAGCTATAACGAATTATTTTTTTAGAAGCAGACAGACATGCTTGCATTGACTCAGAAATTGATCATGATTAATAATACATATTGGGACCTTATAGTGTCTGAGATGTGTTTGCAAAGTCACAGAATATGGTGGTCGTGGACAGTCCCAGCGAATATCTGTACCTCATCTTTGGTTTCTTTGAACTCCTTCGTTTTTATGTGAACTCTACATGCCTTATTGCTTGGGCTTGTCTAGGCTGTAGTATTGGAGTCTATTTAACGATTTTGTGATTTTCCGACCATGCCAACGTACATTTTTTTTATTTTTAATAATTATACTCTTGCAACGCAGTGAAGGAGACATCTTTGACCATACAAAGTATATATATTATTGATCAGAATCACCTCCATTGATATGAGCATATTGCGTTGATATGAGCATATCCGTCTGTCCGTCTGTCTGTTTCTACGCGAACGAGTCTCTCAAATTAAAAGCTATCGACTTCTTTCCTTAACTGATTGATCGGCAGGGCCATAACATTGGTGTTTTAAGAGTTAGAAAGTTGGGATTTTCTTTGGATTCCTTTTTGCAAAAATATACCTATACATAACAAATTTTAAAAGGATCGGCCGACTAAACCTTATAGCTCCAATATAAATGAACGATCGGAAATGGTATTTGGTATTTGGTAAAAATACCAACTTTGTAATATTTGAAGTTAGAACGTTAGGATTTTTTTATAATTTTGTATTTTTATAAATTAGTCTTATTATGATATTCTCATACAAAATATAATAAAAATAAGAAGGATGTCATCATATCAATAGGATAACAGTCCCTTATATTTTTAGTTTAGTGTGTGTAAAAATATATTAGGTAATAACAAAGTAACCAATTCAAACAATTTCTGATTCAAACAATCATCGTAACAAAGTTATACAAACATATATTAAACATCAGCAAAATGAACAAAAGTCGTCCATATTTAACTACACTCTCCAATGAGCCACGGCCAGGACACTTTCGCATGTAAGTTATGAAGTAATCGAATTAATCTTTTAATGTGATATCAAATTCTTATAATTGTTTTCTTTTAAGGACTTATTCAAAGTTCGAAAAGGAGTGCAAGTCACTTTCTAAGGTGCAAAAAAATTTAGGTGATATCAATGAAAAAACGAAACAATGAAGACAACATCATTTTACTGACGCACAAAGTTTCACCAGCCACTGTTGTGGTAAAAAACATTCAAGCCAATAGACACACTGACACTATAATAAATATAAGGGATCATTATTTCATGTGCCACGCAATCATTTTAAAACTTTACTCAAAACAAATGTTTAAAAATTTGGGAAAAAATATGTTGAATATTTCCACACGTCAATTGTCTCCAAATGGCTTTAGTAATGTTTATCAATGGATGATTTCGGAAATGGGAAAAATACCCATGCTTAATATGCCCGAAGTTCTCAGAGCTGCATCATATTTGGAGATAACTGAGCTTCTTGAGCATGCCTGGAACGTTCTAAATAGTCATATCTATACTAATTTTTCAGCATTTAATATAATGTTTAAAGTGCGTCACGCCTATGAACTGGATGAGATAAACGAATTGATGGCTAGCCGCATATCCAAAGCAACTTTGGTAATACTATCCAGTCGTGAGTTTCTTTGCCTTAATGAAAATCAGGTGTGCCATTTGCTAGCATCCAGCTCTTTGGCAGTAAACTCGGAAATGGAGGTAAGTTAATAAGAAGGAAAAGGAAGTAACAAAAAATTATACCATTTTATTTTTAGAAATCTTTTTATTTATTTATATATATAGTTTATATTACTTTATATCCTTGCAGAGGGTATTCTAATTCTGGTCAAAAGTCCAACGCAGTATATGAGACTTCTCCGACCCCATATTCTTGATCAGGACCAACTCCTGAGTTGATCGTGTCCGTCTCTCTGTCTGTCTGTCCATTTGTCTATAACTCATTGATCGGAAATGCCAAAACTTTGGTATTTCTAAAGTTAGAGAGATTATCTTTTCTATGGGTTGTACTTCAAGTCAACTGATCAAGCCTAACAAATTACGATAGGGATCGGCCAACTAAATCTTCGTATTCGTATGAGTATCGGCCAACTTTATCCGATTTTTGCTATATATATCCGATCTTTACTGCAAGGGTATATCAACTTCGGAAACGCACGAAGTTAGCTTTCCTTTCTTGTTTTTCTTTGACGTAAAAAAACCTTCTATTTTGTGTCGTTTCAGTTATTATACAGTGCTTTTATGTGGCTTAATCATTTGTGGCCATGTCGCAGATCCAGCACAGCTAAAATCCTACAAAATATTCGATTTGCTTTTATGTCGCCAACAATGTTGAACAAGTTTAAAAAATTGGAATGCCACAATACAGGCACCTTTAGCAAAATTTTTAATGAATTTGGTAATCTACCAAAACTAACACAACTTATTCAGGATGCATTATTTTGTAGCACCTTAGTAATAACCACAAACAACGAACCAACTTACATTAAAGAAAATTTAGAATACACTCAAATCAAGTCGCTAGCTCCACGTCGTTGGATGTTCGATACTCGATGTGAACATCACCTATCAATGAGACAACAATGCCCCAACATGCAATACATATCGTTTGAACAATTTAAAAATTATTTATATATATTAGAGAAGTCTGAAAGAGATTTTGACCAGTTCATGGAATGTGGAGATGATAATGAAGATTCCAAGAAACAAGAAGATTGTCAAATTGAAACTAGCTTGGGCAAAATAACGATACATTCTATGTTGAATGTCAAGCATTTATCACAGTACATAAAACTTTTGACTGGGAACATAAATTTGAATTAAGCAATCACATAATATATACTTGATAATTGCATGTTTAAAATAATATAATAAAGAATCTGTAAATACAGTCGCATACCAATCTCAAGTTTGGGCTTTTTACTGCTGTAATCAAGGGGACCATCCACGCTAATTTGTTTTGTCGTGAATTTGTCCTACACAAATGATTATGTTTTTAGGTTACCTTAAATCCTAGTTTTTTATGTAGAACCGGAAGTGAACGAAAGACGGATATCCGACTACATCCCATAGCTGTTATATAACTAATATTATATATCGGAACTAACCAAACTTTCGTGTTTTTTTGAGATAAAAGGTTGACACTTTCAACAGATGCGCCAATTAATCCTAACTACCAAATTTTATAAGGATCGGTCGAAATGCTATTTGGAAAAAATACCGGTATTTTTGAAGAGAAAAATTTGTGGCCTTTTTTAAATTACTTATTCTAAAAAATTGGTTTTTTAATAAAATTCTGATAACGACAATTAACCTATCATAGTTGCAAAGGTATATCAACCTCGGCTCCGCCCGAAGTAACCTTTTCTTTCTTGTTTCTTTGGTGTTTTTTTTGTTAGAGGGTTGGTATTTTCTGTGGATTTAGTTAAAAGCCTTGAAGTACTTATTGTAACTTTTAAAATAAATATTTTGTTTTTTTCAAAAATAATAGCCAATTGGAACTTAGATTAGTATTAGAAACTAATAGAACCATAATTTTCGTAAGACACCAGAATTTTAAACATTTCTTAGATTAGATATTATATATGTCGGGTCAGCAGCCGCTTAATAACATAGTTTATAATTTGTTTATTATGGTTAAGAATGGACATTTCGCCTTAGTTGGTCACAAGCCGACTCTTTCTCGGCCGCTCGACTTCAAAGGGTCTATTTTAAGAGAGCTTTAGCTCGGCAATGTCTATGTGGGGCTTTAGCTCCGCAATGTCTATGTCTCGGTTCATAACATTAAGTCCCTGCATGCACCATAAGCTGCTCTATCTATATTGATCATCCAGCTTCATCTGCATGCAGAGTAAATAAATTATAGCGTGCAATTATTAAATTCGCAATTTGTATTTTGGAGCAGATAAACGTCATTGAAAACCCTCAAAGACCATACAGTATAATTAATAGAATACTTTGGTTAGTACAATAGTAAGAAATGGAGATCTAATAAGATTAAATAGTAATAACATGGAAAATATATAGAAAGTTATGTGAAAAAGTTATCTATTTTTGTATCATTTTTAGACAGTTAATAAAGGTAAAAGGTCCTCTCACGCACCTTTGAACCAAACACCTTTTAAATAAAGCAACATTTTTGAATAGCTCTTTACAATTTGAAGATGAAAGTGAATTGGTTTTGTAACTTAAATAGGGCTTCCTTTTACTTAATACAATAAAATATTGTTTGCCTTTCAATTATTAAATACAGAAACTTGCGAAAAGCCGTGCCACAATACCACTAATATTCGTCAATGTCGCAATAAGCACCACATAATTAGAGTGTGTGTGATGGAACGGCAAATGGCGGCTCATTTAACGACCACAAATAATTAGAAGTCCTCCTTTGGTCCTTGTACTTTGCGGCGACGCGATTGTATTGTGGCTTTCTCGGCCGGACGAAATGCTGCTTTAATTTAAATGCCACAGTGACAAAACCAAACCAAAAGCCGACAGGAATTTGCAGCTCAGAACTCATTAATGAGCGGCAAGGGAATGTTAAGGCGAGCCCAGTTCGGAGGAGCTCGTTGGACACTTTCATTTAGTTTTCAGTCAAAATACTTGACAAACATCCTTAAATTCATGGCTGGAAACTGGTGTGCAATCGACTGATGGATCCTCTCGACTTATTTCGCTAAAAGCCGAAATGGCAATGGTCGGGGGGCGAGTACGTGATAAAAATTATGCCACATGCGAGTTGTAAGCAATAAATCTTCGATTTATTACAAAATAATTAAAATTAATGAGCAAAATTGAAAATGAGCACGTGCGTGTGTCTGCTTCGTCCTTGCTGGCAGTGGGGTGTGTGTGTATGCCCGTGTGTGTGTGTGTAGAATACAAAAATGAAACCATAAACTTTACCAATTCCCAGCCATTATATGGTAGATTGCAAATACCAAGTCAATGGAGGGAGAAGGGTGGCAAGTGGGGAATGGGGAGGATAGCAACAGTGTAAGGGAGGGGCGCGGCTATGCAAAAGCCTTACCGGCTCGAGTCCGCCATAATTGTTGAAACTGTACGCGTGCTCGATGGCTGCGCTTCCGCTTCCGGTTCCTCGCTGCGTTCCGTCTGTTTCTAGTTCGACATCCGCAGCGGTCGCATAAATAAATTGGTAGGGATGCACTGAAAAAAATCGAAATAGTCTGTTTTTAAGCTTAACAAAATCTTAAATATAAAATATTCATACATAAATACATTTTTAATAAATTCATTTCAATATTTACATTTTAAGCCTCCATTTTTCCCGGTGCTTGAAATTCATTTAATTGCAACATGTCTTTAAAAAAAATAACAAAAAACCGTAAAGGCCTGGGGGGACTCGAACCACGACGTCGCCGTGGGCCAACTTTGTGCAGCTCGTTAATGCCGTAATACCAACACCGGAGGGGGTTTGGGCTGATGCCTTGGGGCCATGTGTGAAAAGTAAATATTATTCTTGGCAGCTTCGTTTGTTTTAATGAATTTCCCTGCGAGCGAAAGTTCTACTCATTCCGCAAGCCTTTCGTCAGGCCGGGAAGACCAGGAAAAGCCAGGAAAACCCAGCAGCATCCGCCCATCCATCTTCATCTGTCTGTCAAGAGAGCAATCGAAAGCCAATCATGGTCATTTAGCCAGGCAAAAATGCAGGCTTCTGTAGCCACGCTCCATATTATATGTATTGTACATATATGCAGGGGATATATGTAAGTTAGTTTATTTGTACATACATTTGTGCCGAATGCAGACACCAATTTGTATTTGTATATATTTTTTATCAATTGGATTTGCCAACCGACAAAGTGCAGTAAGGACGAACTGTTCATTGGGCAACAATTTGCAGCAATTTCCATTTTGTAAATTTGCAATAAATTCGCTCGACACTACGCAGTTTATTTTATCGGTATAGACAACTCAATTATCCTTGAACACCGCCGTGCAGACGACTTTGAGGCAGGGCGGCGCGAACTTTAAAGGATTTTAAAGGAGCTTTGGTGAATCCACCACCTGGACTACAAGCCCTGCAAAAAATATTATTTGATGAGTTATCCTTCGGCTTATTTGCCCGGGAAGAGGCCCAAATAAATCAACGATTAGAAACCAATTTCCCAACCTGAACCTGCCACTCCGGGCCTGGTTGGGAAACAAAAATCAATTAATAAAACCAACAGAGTAATCTTAAAATCAGCAGGAATCACTGCAAATATGAACAAATGTTGTGTCTGAGCAAATACATGAAAGTAAATCTCTGGCCAATATTAACTAACTCACAAATGATTTGCCGACCATTTTTCCATCCTAAACAAACAAGCCAGGACATGCAGTCGTGGGGCTTGTGTCTTGACCAAAAACTTTCAAGCCAAAATCACCTATAAGTATATGTGTGTGTTTTGTATTTTGGGAGAACGCCACACATTCGGCATCTCCTTGTTTGCGATTTAAAGCAGGCGAGGAAATGGCAGCCAGGACCTCCACACACACGCACCCAGCATCCCTGCGACTTCTTATAAACAAATTCACACATTTCGAAATTCGAAGTTCGAAAAGGAACCGAAGCTGCTTCGTGAGCACGTCCTGGCTGGCTCTCTTATACCCTTGGCTAAGAGAGCTGCATCTCTCTTGGCCAGCTCTCTTCCGGCCTCTTCAGTTAGTTAATCAAATCTCACAATTGCACGTTCCATCTGCGGTGGAAGATGTATCGTCTTTTCGAAACTGTGGTATGGATTTATTTTTTATTTATTTAACATATTAACTAAGCATTAAAGCCTTCGACTTAAATCCTTAAAGCCTTAAAAGCTTTAGGAAAATTTAAGGTTTCATTACAAGTTTCAAATTTTGGTTTTTTTTTTTTAATCTAAAAAGTTCTTTATGGTACTTTACATTACTCATACGCAGTGTTGGACATCAGCAAGCTGGTATTTATTTTCAATAGAAAATTAAAGGTTAAGACAAATATAAAATTAAAAATATGTTATAAATATATTTAAACAAAAACCTAACATTGAAGAACAAATGAAAAAATTGAAGGAAATTGCCTATACGCCATGTTGTACGTAGAAACTTATCAGAAATAATTTGTATTTATGTTCTATATTTTTATTCCTATTTTTTAATTCTTCTATAATTTGTTGTAAAACATATTATAAAATATTACCCTACTGTTCATACACTTACACAAACTATTAATCATAAATTACTCATACGTACTGTTGTACCTGTGACTATGACTTGTGGCTTGTGAATGCAAATATAAAAAATTAGTCGGAAATATATTTTTTAGCTTAATAAATATGTACGATCTCCACATTCTAAGTATTAAGTCCTTCCTTGTCTTGTGAAGCAGGAATGTCCAATAGTGAGGGTATTGCTGCTGACACCAATGATATCACCCCCGCTCCCTGGTCGCCTGTAAAAAAAGTTTTCGAGAATCTTTAGAAGTGCAGAACCTTGAAGTCTTAGGAGCCCTGGTACAGCGTACCTTTTTAAGGCAGAACTTCTCTAACAGATTTTATTCTGTGCTTATGCGATATCGAATTTATGCTTCTATTTCACGATTTCAGCCGATTCGTGTGTGCATTAAGTCCATAGGTCTAATAAAAGGACAATAAAAAACAAAATACAAAAAAAAATTTGTTAGGAAAAATTCTCTTTTAAAATCCTAACTGTGGAAATTCTTGGCATACCCTTTATTGGAAAATTTCTAATTTTCACCACTGTCCTTGGGCAGCA